TCTGCCAGCAATCTATTCTTGCTTCTACTTTCCAATAACTTCCTAAAGGCATGGCTGGTGTACAAGCCTCACTCTGAAGAGGAAGAAGAGGCCACTCAGCCCAGAGTTGGCACAGGAGAGTCAATACCCACGATTAACAGGTGGGCCCTGAAAGTCAAGAAGCTGGGAAAGACTGGGACTATTTTGGTGGCTCACAGCCTCTACCACATCCTGTTAAAACCGTAGTTCCTTCTGAAGCTTGTCCAGACCAAATCAGAGTCACAGTCATCCCAGCACAGACCACATGATCCTTTTTTCCCCTTCTCCAACCTCTATCCAACATGGGAGGTCTGTGACATGGATTAACCAGGTCAGCACTCCACCCCCTTCAGAAGCTCTGTTCATCTGCCTGGTGCCGTCACTGAGAGTTGCCACAGTTTATAGTTTCCACATAGAGCAATTGATGAGGAGATGACTATGGATCACAGTGTGGACCCAGGGTTTTGTACGATGTAGACTTCTACATCTGGGCTGTCTATCTTCCTTCCTTCTAGTCATTTGTTTCTCTTCATTTTATGTGCAAATCTATGTGGTCTCTCCTCTCTCTCTCTCTCTCTCTCTCTCTCTCTCTCTCTCTCTCTCTCTCTGTGTGTGTGTGTGTGTGTGTGTATCTGTGTGTGTGTGTGTGTGTGTGTGTGTGTGTGTGTGTGTGTGTGTACTCAAGCTCCCAGTAGCCTCCCTGTAAAGGTTCTGGAATAGTTATTTTTGCAGCACTGTTACCAGAAGACCTGAAAGAAACATCTATAGGGAGGAGGGTTTTAATTTGACTCTCAGTTTCCAGGAGATTCCAAACCTCGGTGGGAATGCAAAAGTATAGTTCAGTCCAATGGATCTTTAAAGCATTAGAAGTGGCAGGTAGTCACATGGCAGCCAAAGAGAAAGCACCAAGTGGGTGGTCAGAACCAGAGGAGCCCTCACCTGCCAGAGACCTATTTCTTCCAGCTGAGACCCACATCCCAAAGGTTCCACAGCCTTTTGCAAATGGTGCCACCAGCTGGAGACCAAGTGTTCAAAAACATGAGCCTGTGGGTGATATTTCAGACCCAAAGCCGCAGAAGTGCTTGGAAGAAGTCAAAGTGTATAGATAGGGATATGGAGGGTGTGTTGGGAAATGCAGATAGTTCTATATTGCTAGAGATGATGTAACAGGTTTTACATTTCCAAAAGAACAGTTTTATAGAGGGTGGAATTGAATAGGAAATGGCCGCATTCAGGAGCATTGTTTTGAAATTGATGTAGTAGTTCAGGCAAGGGTTGGGGAGCACGGGAAAGTGGTGGGGTGATGGATAAGGAGAAGCAGATTGCTTAGGATAAAGACAGCAGGACTTGGTAATAGCCAGTGTTCGGAAGAGAGGCAAGAGACCAAGAGCAAACCCAGGTGACTGGCGACTCTGGGAAAGAGCATTGAGCAGTGATTTTATAAAGAACCATGAAGGGTAGTATGATGGGCAGTGTCCACTCCTAAGAGAGGGAGTGTGATGGGCAGTGTCCACTCCTAAGAGAGGGAAAGTGATGGACAGTGTCCACTGCTAAGAGAGGGAGTGTGATGGACAGTGTCCTCTGCTAAGAAAGGCTGTGTAAGATCAGGAGTGGGAAATTTCCATGACTTGAGAAATGAACTGTAGGGAGTAATTTCACAGAAGTAAGACCACATCACCTTTGAGAACCTGTTAACTAGGACTAGCAGAAGTAAATCCAGATTGGAGGATTCACTTCCTCCTTCAGGTATAGTATCCAGGGCCTTAAAGCTTCTCAGGTATTCAAAATTATGTTTGAGGTCTGAAAAATAATATTGGCTTTCCAATGCACAAAAAAGCTTGCAAAATTAAATTAAGACATGTTTAATTAAATATCTCCAAAATGGAACATTGTTCCAACTTCATTAATTTTTAAATTTAATATTCATAAAAGCTGCATCACATTTAGACACAATTTTTGGGTTAGATTTTCTCATTTTGCAAACATTCCCTTGTATGCACAGTGATGGCTGAGAAACCACAGCCAATTGGAAATTAACTATATCTTTCCCCTCCATAAAAGCAGAAGCAAAAATTTTTAAATGCATTTAGTTGTAAGATGTTGGGTGGATTTTCTTCTACCTGCTTTTGTGTGGGACAGGGTCTCCAAATGGGTTTTAAGAACTTTAAGAATGACATAATAATGCCGAAACAGACAGCTTTTCTCAAGGTTCACAGCAATAGAGGGAGAAGGGGCATTGAGTGGACTGGAGCAGTCAGGAGTCTGAGAAGGAAGGACATGAACTGGAAAGAGCCAATGGTGAGGGAGAGGTGGTAAGGTTCAGGAGGTGACTGACAGGGAGATGGGGAGCGCAGCCGCAGGGCACAGGTGAGTCCCAGAGGGAAGAAACACCCCTTCCAGTAACAGGAGGGAAGGGCCCTTCTAGGAAACCCAAGTCTTCCATTTCAAGTAGATCTATGTTCAAGTGATGGGTCATCTTGGAGTGTCCCAGCACCACCTAAGGACTCTCTTAACTGGGCAGGTGGCCATCCTCACTATCACTAACATCTTTCTCTTCACTGGCTGGAGAAGCTAGGGCTTCGAGGGTTCATGGACGGTAACAGTGTCCCTCATCTCGTCACTCCTTATTCATGGACTGGAACATCAGCCTGCAAAACCCAGCTGGACCCTTGGATATACCCATTCTTTCTTAAGAGTCCCTTTATATTTCATCCCCCTGATGTTCTTATAGTCTGATGCTTTCTGTATCTGGCAGCCCAGGTGATAGAGGCTGGTATTCAAGTGAACACAAACTGCTTTCCTCCCTGTTTTTTAAGATCCTTCATCTTGGATTAATCAAGATAGAGCCCTCCCCTCACCCTTGACCCCTACACTGATTGGTGCAGATTTGGAAGAGCTGACTATGGAAATCAGCAGACCAGAGTGCATGGTCTGTCTGATGTATTGCTTATGTGAGGCTTTGGGGCCACTGGAAGTAGACCATCAGCTTGGCAGAGAATGCCACTATGCTGTGTTATTGTTAAAACGCACATACACATGTGTGCATGCATGTACGCATGCACAGGAAACCCGAGGTATCTTGAAATAGCCAGGTAGGGGTATTGTGCCAGCTTCCTGAGCTGTAGTGGCAGTATCTGATTCCTGTTCCTTTCTGTAGAGCATCTTAGGTGGTGCAAAGCTGGCTCTCCCTGACTACAGCATAACCTCACGCCCCATGACAGCTTAACTAGAGATCAGACATAGAGTCATTCCAAAGGGTATAGGACATAAGCCTCCCAGTTGCCAATTTCTTAGACAAAAGAAGCTTTTTTGGTCCCTGATTGTGGTTCCCACTCAATCAAACATCCCATGTGTCCATCTGACACTTCTCTTAAAGGCTGATTTTTCTACAGCCAAAGAAAGCATCGAGTTGTTGGGCTAAACTCATCAATGCTACAATTGAAATGGCCATAATCATCCTACAAATATGCATCAGGATATCTCTAGACTGAACTAGACTCCCTTAATATAGGTGACAGTGGTGTGACTGGGACAATATATTAAACCACTGGTAGTGGGTCCAAGATCTAACACTAATACACAAACTTACTTAGTGGAGCCTGTTCTATATGGAGAGATACCTTGCCCAGTCTAGACACAGGGGTATGGGAGTGGAGAGGTGCCTTGTCCTGCTTCAACAAGATGATGGGACAGACTTAGTAGACTTCCTAGGGGAGGCCTTACCCTATCCATGGAGCAGATGGGAAGAGGAGGGGAGTGGGGAAAGAGGGAAGAGAGGAGGGAAGGGGAACTGGAATTAAAATATAAAAAATAAATTAATGAAAATACCAAACATGATATCTCTAGATATCTTGCTAGGCAATGAGGGTATGATCCAACTATAAAGAACTTCAAAATCCATGGATACTTCCAGAGATAACAATTTCAAACTAGTTGCAGGTTCGCTGGGAAAAATTAACCTGGGAAGCTTATTTCCAATACAGAGTTCTGGACCAGTAAGATGGTTCAGCAGGCAAGGGTGCTTGCTCCAAACCTCATGGCCTGAGTTTGATTCCCAGTGCCTTCGTGGCAGAGGGAAGGAGCTGTTCCTGAAGCTTGTCCTCTGTGTTCCATATGTGTTCTGTGGCACATATGCTGGGTGTATGAACACAAGTACTGACATGCAAATAAATAGATGTAAAATAATAATAAAATACAGAGTCTGTCTTCAGACATACTGGATCTTGAGGTCTTGAGGAAAGGCTGGAGATCTCTGTTTCAAATTTTTCAGGAGTTTCTGATAGCAGCCCAGTCTGGGAAGCATTAGTTCAGTAGGAGCAAAAAGTCTTACTTTCCAAATAAACTTAACATTTTAGTTCCTTCTCCCAAACCTCCAGGGCCAGGATTATTTTAGGGCTTGGAGATTTGGGATTTGGGAATACTGCTTGGCTGAGCATCCCCTAGCCTGAAAATCTAACGCTTAACATTCTCTAAAATCTAAATTTGAGCGTTGTGTGTGTACACACATACATACATGCATATATGTATATATGCTCAAAAGCTGCACATTTCAGGGTTTTGGATTAAGGATGACCAGGCTATAATGTTCTGGGTCTGGCAAGCACGATCCTTTCTAGATCCATATATACCAAAATGTATTGTGAAAATCAGCTAGAGTTTTAGAATGTAAGGTATTTTGGTGTTGCGTCACTATGAGCTTAATCAATAGAGTGGGCCTGCACTTTCCCGTTAGTTAGTCTCCGCTCCCATCCTACTACAGTCTTGTGGTTTTTCCAGCCTCCTTCATTCACAGCTAGGTCTCCTTGCCCCACCTTACTGCAACCACCCCTGCTTTTCTTTCAAATGATGAATTAAATCTCTTCCAGAAATGAATGAATCTGGGAGACCATCTCCATTCTGATTATTTTAGTGGCAGCTGCATAGGTGTGGTGGGTCTTCTCCCTCTCTCAAAGTAACTTTTACTTTTTATCACTCTCTTCTAGGCCTGGGAATGGAGAATATTGGTGGAATCTTTGTGGTTCTTATTTGTGGCTTAATAGTGGCCATTTTTATGGCTATGCTGGAGTTTTTATGGACTCTCAGACACTCAGAAGCATCAGAGGTAAGCTTCCAATGGCTTCCAAAGGCTTCCAAAGGCAAACCGCCAACAGCAGTGTGAAACTCACTGGCTTCTTCATTCATTTCAGACAGGACCTACAGAATGCTCCCAAAGGACACGCAGGACAGTGGGAACACTTTTAGTCCCCAGAGTAAAAACTCTGAGTAGATGCTGTGGTGTGTTGATTATGTAACCATATAGAATGGGCTCCAGATTTTCCTTTGACATAGCCATCAAATTAATATGTGAGGAAAGATGATTTATAAATGACAGACTTTATATAGTATTGGAGTAGGGTGTGAAAGTGTCAGGTCATTCATGTGAAATATGGCCTTAGACCTTCCATTGTGACTATCTTTACCTACAGATACAGGTGAAAACCCTCAGAGGTACCCCAACTTAAAGAAACCAAGAGGTTCACCCTCTGTCTCAGGGGATTTTAATAAAATTAATTCTCTAATTGTGGTTTAGAGTCTTAGTTAATGTCTACTTTGCACCTTTGTCCCATTCCATCCCTCCCCAGGAAAGATGCACAAGGATGCTTTGTGTCACTGGTCCTCTCTCCATCCCCAGGGAAGATACACAAGAAAGATTTATCCTATTGGTCCTCCATCCCTCTCCAGGGAAGATGGACAAATCCATGCATATTTATTGCATTATGAGACTTTTTCTTTTTATCCATCACATTAAACTCTCAGCTCTGGATCTTCTTTAAGCCCACTTTAATATTTCTGGGGAAATGTCTCCTGACTATACCCTATATAGGTATAGAGGGTACCACCTCATAGAGGACCTCAACACAGTCCTGCCAGCCCCAGGGCTGTCTGCATTCAGCTTCTTTCCACAATGTCACCCATTCTTCTGTCCTCTACTCTTGAATGAAGAGAGCCTGATTTTATTGTACACTTCCCCCAAGAAATGAAGAGTGGCCCACCCCTATCTAAACCACTACCTAAAAATGTACCCATTTACCCTCACAGTGCCTCTGCCTGATCCTACCATTTCTCATCTACTCTAGGATTGTGCCCTCTTTCCAAAATCCACAACTGTGTCCCAGTTGTTCATTTTAAAAAGCAGTAATGTTACTATCACCTTGACTTATACCACCCTTCTCTTGAGCTAAGGATGTTTGATTATTTATTTAATATTTATTTATTTTTGGTTGGTTTTTCAAGACAGGTTTTGTCTGTTTAACAGCTCTGTCTGTCCTGGAACTTGAATTGTGGACCAGGCTGGCCTCAAACTCACAGAGATTCTCGTGCCTCTGCCTCTCAAGTGCTGGGGGTTAAAGACATCCACCACCACCATCCAGTCAACATTTGATAACAGTATTACTTTCCATTTCCTTGTCTCCCTCTCAGCTCAGCTCTTGACACCATTCCAACTTGGCTTCTCTCCATCCACTATGAAGGGCCCTTGCCCATTGTTTGACCCCTTGCTGAAGGGGTCAAACCAAAGGGAACCCATCATTCCCAGACTCTCTTGTCTTTTTCCTTGTTCAATATCTGATTTCTTGGGCTCCCTGGTACTTCTGCTTCCAGTTCTAGTCCCCTCTCCCTTTGCCAAGTCCTTAAATGCTGCTAACATTTATATATTCTTTATGAGTCTGATAGGGTGAGCCTTTCATTTCCCAGTGAAACCATCCCTATTTATTCTCCTTTTACACTGGACCAGCATCAGCCACCTATCAGTCACCACAGCACCACTGTAACACTGACATAAAATGCTTATATACCATCATGCAACAGCTATAGACATGGAGCTACTTGGATGTCAGGACTGCCTGTTACCTCTGTATTCTCGTGACAAACCACAATGTTTGACCCCCAGTAGATAGTAAATGCATGTTGTTATATTCTTGTCACATGTAATGGATTAAGCAGGTGGCAGGGGTTTTGTTGCCATAGTAATTATTAGAACCACAGAGGGGTTTAGAGGTTTGCCAAGAATCTTTTACTATTAGTGACAATGATGGGTCTAGAATCAGTTCTGAGAGCCCAAGTTAGGCCATATTGTGTGAGGCAATATGTGCAGCTGCTTCCATGACCTGTTTCTCCCAAGAGCTCAGGCAAGATCTGTATTTACATTGAAAATCAATCAGTCTCAGACCTTTGTGATAGTTAAAATGAAGAGGAGGCTGTATTGACTGTGACTGTGTAGGGTCTGATACAATATTTGTTCCATTGATAGAACATGAGGAGGACCCGGGCGGTGGTGGCAGATCTGTGTGAGTTCGAGTCCAGCCTAGTCTAGAAATAGTTCCAGGACAGCTAGGACTGTTACACAGAGAAACCTATCTCAAAAACAATCAAACAAAAAGAACACAGGGAGGAGGCTTCTTCTGCCATCATGCTCCAGGAGTGTTATTCTGACCTCAGAGATGAGACCTCAACTAAGTACTTTTGGACTTTGGAGTTAGACAGGTTCAAGTTTTAGTTCTGAAGGGGATACTCATTAATCATTTCTTTATAAAATACACAGTATATCCTGAGTGCCTACCTACACAGCTTTGCTATAATATTAATGAGAGTAACAATAGTAACATAAGTTTATATTTCTTATCCACTGGTTCTCAGACCCCCAAGCCCTTTGTAAGTTTGATGCAAATGTATTTCTCCTCCACCAAGCCTGATTTAAAGTACACCATCTTCACTGCAGCCATTGTGAACACACAAACATTTTGCTGTGGAGATAGCAATGTGTTCAAATATGGAGCTTGTCCCAGCCCCACTGGGTGTTAAACCTAATATGGTGGTTGTGCATTATAAAATCCAGAACGCTCTGAGTTTTGAAACAAGCTGGAGTCAAGTGTTTCAAATTAGGAGACTGTGAACCTACAGATGCAGCAGCTGTTTTATCCCAGTGATTTTGGGGACACATCTTCTCCAGCTTTGGCAACTTCACCTGGGCCAGCTAGAAGGAAGTCAAGACTGTGTTGGCTTTTGGCAGTGGTAGACCTGTCATGTTGATGGAGCTGAAAGAGAGAATAGGGAAGAACAGGCAGCTACTGCCTCCCACAGTGTTTCCAGATTGTTCCCTTCCAACTTAGACAACGAAACTGGGCATGGTGGCTAAAAAGAATATGGGGGATCTTTGGGCTGAAGACAAAATGAACAATTGATGACTTTTCCAAATACCAGAGAGACTGATATAGAAAAGAGTGTTTGTTTTAAGTGAGTTTCAAGATCCACATTGATCTGAGGTCAATGGGTCAAATTCTCGGGGGTAGAAACTAAGCAGAGTAGGAGGAAGCAGCCATTAGTGGAAATGTGCAGAAATGGTACCGTCTTTCCCAAGATAAAGTGGCCAGAGATTGGGTCTCATCTGGCAGGCTGTTGAATGAAGGCTGTTGTGTGGAGGGCTTTTGAGCCTTAAATAGGGTGGGAATGAAGCCTTTATTTAATTATCCCTTACACCTGAGATGGCAGGCTGTCCAAACACCCAATGCGTGCTACTCCAAGAGAATCATGAGGCCTTTTCTCAGTGACTTCCGCTGTCTCCCCCAGGTGTCTGTGTGTCAGGAGATGGTGACGGAGCTGCGCAGCATCATCTTGTGCCAGGACAGTATCCACCCTCGGCGGCGGCGGTCTGGAGGCCTGCCACCCCAGCCCCCGGTCATGGAGGAGCGCCGGCCCCGGGGCACCGCGACGCTCAGCAATGGCAAGCTGTGTGGCGCCGGGGAACCCGACCAGCTGGCGCAGAGACTGGCACAAGAGGCCGCCCTGGTGGCCCGCGGCTGTACGCACATTCGCGTGTGTCCAGAGTGCCGCCGCTTCCAGGGCCTGCGGGCACGACCATCGCCAGCGCGCAGCGAGGAGAGCCTGGAATGGGACAAGACCACCAACAGCAGCGAGCCCGAGTAGTGGCGGCGAAAGACCGCGGAGTCAGGCGGGGAGGCGGGAGGGTTGACTTTGCAACACCGTTCTGTCCGGATTCAGAATTCAATCACTTTACAAAGGGCATCAGAGGCTGATGCCCCAGCAGGAGGCGGAACCCGCCCTGTAGGAGAGCGGGATCTACCTGAGAAGCTGCATCCACATGGCAGAGAAGCTGTCCCTTGTGGGCACAAGGACCCATCTCCTCCCAGAGAGCCTTTCTTTCACACCCAAATAACATGGAGTCTGGGTGATGGGGCCCTGCTGGGAGAAGTTCAAGGAATTGATGGTATCATCAGTTGAAGTCCCCCTAGAGAGGGACCATTGTACCCTGGGTCTAGTTCTTAACAGAAAAAAAAAAAAAAATTAAACTCAACAGGGAAGTTTTTCTTTTCTGAATTTGTATATTTTTGTTAAGGTCCCTTTCTTTCCTTTCCTGTTTTTCCTTTGTCTCTTCTGGTTTCAAGGTCTGAAGTTCACTTGTCTTGTGCTTTGGGATGGGGAGTGTGGGTTGGGGGATGGAAGTCTGACTCTCTCTCTCTCTCTCTCTCTCTCTCTCTCTCTCTCTCTCTCTCTGGCTTTGGAGTTGATCCACAGGGTCTTAGGTGCTGACCCTGTCCTGCTCTTGTCATGTGGTGTTTGGTGGTCTCCCTGAGTGTAGAGGGCCTTGGGTGAAAGTCTATCCAGCCAACTTGTTAAATGACATTAAAAAAAAAAAAGTCAGTTAACCTGTAATCTGTAGTCTACCAGAAGGCACCTCAATATGCCCAGGGTTCCCAGGGTTAATCTGGCATTTCTTTCTCTTTCTTTCCCTATTTTCATCTCTAAAAACAGAAGGAAGACAGAATATGCAAAACATGCTGGGCACTCTGTAAAGAGTAAGGAGGGATGTTTATGTGATTTTCCCATACTGTGGTCCTAGCTTCCATTGCAACATGTTACTCAAAGAGGAGAGAGGGCAGGGCCACACTGCTGGTATGATGGACCCTTCAAAAGCACCTCTTTGTAGCAGAACTCAATAGCTGCCTGTGAAGCCCTACCCCTAAGGCTCGTATAGATTGGTGATTTTTGGGGTACTAGGCATGAAACCTGGGTGCAAGTGTGTGTGTGTGTGTGTGTGTTCATGCTCCCATATGTGTGTGTCCCCAAGCATATGTGTATATGTTTATGAATCAGAAAGACCTTAAGTAACCAACGATTTGCCTAATTCCTGGGAGAGAGCAGTCTTTTTGCCTGTCACTGGCTGAGGAGCTAGGAACCATAAATCAGATCTCAGTGTGGTCAGCAGCATTCCTTGTATAACTAAGGATGAAGTATCTGACTTCTCCACTACAGACCGGGAGTCAAAAGTACTTCCCTAGGTTTCCAAGGATGGCTCTGCCTATAGGAGGTTTGCAAGGTTCGGGGTGCTCTCCCGATGGGAGAGCCAGGACTTCCTAGGAGCTGCTTGGCATTTGTGTCATCACTCCAGGATTCCATGGAGAATTGTCGTTTTCTGATAGAAAACAAATTCTATGCAATTTCTGATGGTAAACTCAGAAAATTACAAGAGAAAGATGAACAGGGGCCACCAACCCCACCTTCACCACCATCACCTTGAGTTGAGCTGATTTCACACTCTTGTTCTGAGGGTATTTTTAAAAAGGCATTTTTGAAGATGCTGAGCTGGATCCCCCAGTTCTGCCTTCTGGATAGGTTGGTGTCTTCTCTGTGCTGAGACTATTTGTTAGAACTGCCACCCTGGGGCCAAGTTGTAACCCTGATTATTCTCAATTCATATAAGAGATGCCATATCAGCCCTAAACTGACCTCTTGTTGGTAACTCTGAACCCTTTTTCATATTTCTCTCTTACTGCCCAATGACAGCAAGCTGTGTGGGACACTTGACACTTGAGGTTGTATTTTTGTTTTTACCATGCCCTGTGGAGAAATACAGACTTGGTGGGAAGGGCACTTGAAGGCTGACGGCCAGAAGACCCCAGTGGTGTCACAACTCTTCCAACCTTCAGCCCTTCCATGCTTCTCACTCCGGGTCCCTCCCTGTCAGGTCACATCTTGGACAGGAAGGGTTGTTTTTTAGAAAAACAAAACTCGTTTTTATGAGCAGGATATCTTGATCACTAGAAACTTTTTTTCCCAATGGATTAGTTAAGTAAATGTTCCCACACATCATTTGTGATGTCTGTTTCCTTGCCTTCCTGGAATAATGATGAGACTGACAGCACTAGGCAGCTTTCCTTAACTCCATCATTGCGCCTTCCTCCAGTTGCCGCGTAAATCTGCTCCCAGGTGTTTCTGGTCCTTGGTTTGTCTCCTCCACCTTTGACCTATTGGTCATTGTCTTTCTTTCCCATCCTGTGTTTTCTATCTGAATCTGTGTACCGTATAAAGCAGTTTTTTCTTGTCTGTTTATCTTTCTTCGACTGGAATATTTATAATAAAACAAACCCTGAAATGTTAGCGATGGGTGAGAGCTCTTTGGGTTTGGGAAGTGTAATCCCTGTCCCCACTGCCCAGCTGTTAGACTCTAAAAGAGAATAAAACCAGGGGCCCTTTTGTGTCTTACCCTTTACCTGCCTCTCCCTCTCTCTCTTTCTCTACCTCTTCTCCCTCCTCTTCTCCTCCCCCTCCTTCTCTCTACCTCCTTCTTTACTTGCCACTCCATCCACTCTTTGTTCCCATCCCAGCAAAGTCTAGGTGGCTTCTTTCAATTTTCAGTTCTGGGAGTCTGAGCCAACTCCTCCCTCCACACATACACCCCTCAAAACGGATATGCATGTTAATGGAGTTCAGGTTTGTGGGGTTTTTGTCTTCCTAAATGCACTTTCACAGAATAGTCATCTACTGATACCTGGGGTAACTCTAGTCAGATGTCACCCCAGATTCCACTGGGAGCCTGAAGATTACATCAATTAAAATATAATACTTTGCTTTATTTCTTTTAATTGCTCTGCAGGGCCCCAACCGTCACAAGATCTCTGCTTCAGAACCCAGGTGGGGTGTAAGTTGAGCATGTAGATGTTGGAAAATCTTTTGGCTTCCTCTATCCCAGTGCCCATATGAGAATATTCATGCTGGGAACTTGCCAAGCAGCCCTCTTATTGGTTAGGTGAGACCTAAATATCATGATAGTCAATCCATCTGGGACTGCTCTGTGAAAATTCATTAGTTTGGGATTCCAAGGAGTTTAATTTTCTTTTGGAATCCAAAGAGGACTTCCCCTTGGTGTACAGGGCCAGGACAGAGCTGGAGCACAGCTCAAGAGAGCAGTCTGTGGCCCTCCCATCAGCTGGGTGTTCATGGCAAGGCAAAGTAGTCTGGGAATGATAAGAAAGGTCTAATTCCCTGGCAGGCGGTCAGTGCTCAAGTCATAACAATGAAGCCTGTTTTGAGAATTCACAGACAGTATCCTTTCAGAAAGACGTGTCTGAAAGCTGGGGCTTCCTATGAGGTCTTCTCATGAGAAAAACAGAATCTTGGAATAATTCTCTGGCATTTTAGAAAAGTTTACTCCCTACACACACACACACACACACACACACACACACACACACACACACACACACACAGAGAGAGAGAGAGAGAGAGAGAGAGAGAGAGGCCAGTTCCTACCAGGACCAAACTGAAAACAACTTCCTTAGAGGCTGGCAATTTTGGGGTCCTCTGTTGGCCCTCAATGATTGGTGATGGCAGGCAACCAAAAGACATGTCCCATAGAGGGGGAGAAGTATAACTTGAAGGTTTGGTTTCCAGAGGAGTGAGGGTCACCCTCCATGTCTTAGAACTGGGTGGTCAACAACTTCACTATTATTTAAGAGCAAGGGGAGACGTTAGAACTTAATCGGTCACATTTCACTGCAGTCTCCAAAGAATAGATGAAATACCATAGGCATCATCGTGAGGCAGACAACAGAATTTGTGACAAGAGAAGAAAGAAGGAAGTCTATGCAGATGATAAAATGGGAAAACTATCTGTAACAAGAAATGGCAGGAAAAGTCCCAAGAAAGGGCATAAGGAAACTGAGCATCTAATATGGCTGTAGATTAAGCATGTAAATGTTCCCCTAGGTGAGGTCCATGAGGTGATGTAAGGGAAACAGTGTGTAGTGGCTGATGTAACCTGATGGGGTGCAGGACCTCATTTGCTGGTTGGACTGTGTGCAGTCTATACTATAGAGAGCAATGTTTTACCTGCTAGAAAACTAGCTAAAGGATCCTGCCCACATCTGAATATTCCTCACACCCAGTCTAACTTTGTCTCTTAGCTATGTCAGAAAAGTTGGGGGTTACAGAGATGAGAGCATCTAGAAACGAAGTGGAACATTGGCAGGTAGTGTCAGATTGTTCTTATTTCACAACACTACTTTAGATTCTGTGAAAAATAGCAAAGACACAAAAGCCATAGATCAGTAACCTGAGAGAACAAAATTTACCTGTGACAGTGAGTGGTGGGGACTGTGGAGATGGCTCAGTTGGTCCAATGCCTGCTTTGCAAGCTTCAGGACCGAATTTGAGCCTCAGAATCCATATAAAAGATCTGGGACACTAGAGACAAAGCTCAGGACTTAAGGGCACTTTCTGCTCTGCAGAGGACATGGATTTGGTTCTCAGCACCCACAACATCTGTAACTCAAGTTCTAACAAACCTATTACCCTCCTTTGGCTTCCACAGGAACCATATGTGTGTGATTCATAGACATAAACACAAGCAAAACACTCATACAAATAAGAAAATCTCAGGTACCTCTACCAGCTCTAGAAAGGTGAATTCTGATGGGTCCCTGAGAGTCAGCCTGGCCTAGCCTACTTGGTAAGCTCTCGGGCAGTGAGAGGCCCTGTCTAAATGACATCTTTTAAAGAACACTGCCTGAGGTTGTTCTCTGACCTCTACAACACACCACTGCTGGGAAATCAGGACTTTGCTTCCATGGCCTTTGGAGTGGGGTTTTGTTAATTCAGACTGGTGAATAAAAAGATAGCCCATGGTTGCCG